TAATAATAATAATTTATTTAATATATTATTGTTCATCTCATTTAAAATGTAAACTATAAACTGTTCATTAACCGTTAAACCAATATGACCCTTATTTTAGATGCATTATATTCACATACATGTTCAATAAATTTTATTAGATTCATTGACCAATAGCCAAACAGGAAAACTCAAGATAATTTGAAGTTTTAAACCCTGTCCTCTCAAAATTCTTTAATAAATTAAACTTGAATATTAATTAATTGGTCATGCGTGATGAAAACCAAAAAAGAAAAAAAGAAAAAAAGAAAATCCAAGTAGTTGATTAGTTTGAGATGAAGTTGGGTGGCTGTTTTACCTGGTTGTTACCTAAAATGGTTGAGTAGACATGTCTTCTAAAGCAGGTATACCCTCTATCAATTCCTGAAAGAAATAGTCTTGCAATGGTTGTGTAGTAGGTTCAAAAAGAAGAAGATGTTTCCTTCTAGACTTATTATTTACCGTTTCTGGTTAAGAAATAGAGGACTTACTCCACCAGAATTACCTCAAGCCTACTTCAGAAGTAATTTTCTGGGTTTTTGCTTATGTCCGGATCTAACCCACATGGTTAGAGACAATTTTCTTCAATGGGAACTTGGGAATGTTGTATAGAATTGAACTTATAGTATCTAGAAGTTTCTATTTTTCTGCATTTTTCGATTTTCTGTTTATACATAACATTACATACTAACTTTAAAAAACAGCAAAAATTCCACACGTGAACTTGGAAGTTCAAGATCCAACATATATGACATCTCCTCCAGTTTCGGAGGAAGTTCTCCATCTACCCTACGCCTTCTTCCCTGAAGTTTCCTTTACCATTAACTTCCCCTTTCCTTCTTCTCTTTTTATTTATTTTTATTTTTTGAACATTCATGAAACTTCCCTTTTGTTTTTTCAATCAAACTACAAGGAAACATACAGACAAAATCCTCCAATATATCAAATCAATTCAAGGTACATATCAACACAAGTGGGTATGAATTAAACCCGGGAAAATGAGCTTTATTTTCCAACTTGCCAAACACCACAACCAGAACCAGTAGTTGGATGGAAGAAAGAACTGCCACAAATGCAAATTTCAACATTTTCTTGGGAAAAGGAAAGGATTGAAGAAAGGAATCAAGATATTTTATTTATTTTATATCTTTAATTTCAGTAAAAATGAAAAGAATCGACTGTACACTCTGGCAACCTCAGTGACCAATCAAGAAACTGTCAGTCCTAAAAAAGAATAAAACATCTCTCTAGTGTCCTAATCATTTACAAATCTCCATTGCCTATTTAAAAAAAAAAAATTAATCATTTACAAATCAACCCATCATGCCAGTACTACAAAAACATATCCAATCACAGCCGTTGATGTGTTAGTATCTTTGAATCACAGCCGTCAGATATGTTTACCTCACGACGACCCAGCTGCCATCAGAAACTGACCAATTGGGTCCCTGGTTACATGCCAATTCATGAATCCGATTGGAAAGCGATGAAACCCAGCAACTCGACGATGATGAGAAACTTGAATTCGCTGTCGACGGTGAAGGGGAGGTCGTTGATTGAACGGAAATCCATTCTGGGAAATCTAAGGGACCTCGCGGTGACGTTGAAAGTTGCTCGCAGTTTAATGCAACAGTGTCATCGCCGGCGACGAAGGGATGGTCTAATAGCGCGTCGGCCGTCAATCGATTTCTGGGATCCTTCACAAAGCATTCTTTGAGAAAATCTTTTCCTTCCTCGCACAGGGAATCGGGGATTTCTGGAGATTCATCGCCCAATCCGATTTTGATCATCAGCGTCGCGATGTTTGAGTGTTTTTCTAAATTCCACGCCAGTTTTCCGGTTGCCATCTCCACCACCGCACATCCAAGCGCCCAGATATCCACTCCGGAACCGTACTCGCTCTCCGTCACTGACTCCGGCGCCATATACAGAGGAGTTCCTCTAATTTCAAATTTTTTCTCCTCGCCGAACTTCTTCGCCAACCCAAAGTCCGCAATCTTGGCACCACCATTTTCGAACACCAATATATTCTGGAGCTTGATGTCGCAGTGAGCAAACCCTTTCGCGTGAATATGCCGGAGCCCCTTAAGTATCGATCTTGTGTGCCGCCGGACATCGGATTCCCCCAACCCACCAGCGTTTCTCTTCACCTGATCAGCCAAACACCCTTTACTCGCAAACTCCAAAAAAACATTATACAACTCCCCGCCGTTCTCGAAACTATAATTATCACCAAGACACCGAATTATCTCCGGGCAAGAACCGATTTGATCGAGCGCCGCCTTCTCATTCTTGAGCGACCCGGCATCAAAGGCAGGTGCAGACTTCACAGCCATTAAAACAGAGGAACCTTGAACAGAGCTTTTCCCCTGCATCGCCAAATTGACAGTACCAAAACTTCCATACCCAATCGTTTCGCCTCGAACCCACTCCATGGGTGGTGGAACTGAATCGGAAAAATGGTTTCTTTTCTGGGATTTGGTTAGGGTTTTAAGGATGGAGAATCGGAGGAGGTCTTAAGAAAGAAAGAGGCGAAGCAGGGGTGAACGCAGCTGTGATATATTGGCGGAAAAAGTCCTTTTATATATGGGAGTGGAATTTTTCGGTTTATTAAATTTTCGCTGATTTTTAACGCACGTGATCCGCAAGGATATTTCCTGGCTGAAATGGTATGTCCGGTCTCTTTGGATGAGAAAGGAAGGTCGAAACGGGTCTCCTTTGGCCGCGGAACG